GTGCACGAGTATGTACGATCCAAGTTAAACGAAGCCCTCCCATCCCAGCGAACACTAAGGGGCTGGTACAAGTCGATTCAAGGAGCTCCTGGCTTCACAGCCGAAGCATTTACTTTCCTTGAGAAGTTTGCGGAAGCACGTGATGAAACCTTCTACTGCGCTCTCATTGTAGACGACATGGCCATCAGGAAACACGTAGAGCTAGTTGGAGATAAAGTAGTAGGGTATGTTGACTTCGGAACTGGGATGACGGTCTTCCTGAAGCTGCAAATGCGTGTGTCTTCATGATCGTTGGAATCAACGTCAGATTTAAGATGCCAGTTGGATACTTCTTAATAGACTCACTCACAGGAGCAGAGAGGGCCGAGCTGGCCAAACAGTGCATTGAGAAGCTTGCGTCGGTGAAGGCTAAAGTAGTCTCTCACATTTGACGGAGCCTCGTCGAATTTCACTATGGCCAGGTGTTTAGGTGCTCAACTTCGTGTTGACTGTGAGCAAATTTCTTCAAGCTTTGTGAACCCAGCTGACGATGCTAAGAATGTTTACATTATCCTAGACGCCTGCCACATGATTAGGCTTATTCGTAATTCCTTGGCGAACTTAAGCTACATTGTTGATGCTGAAGAAAAGCACATAAAATGGGCCTACATAGTGGCATTGGAGGCATTGCAGCGTTCCGAAGGGCTGCGGCTGGGCAACAAACTCACGAAAGTTCACGTGCAATGGGAAAAACAAAAGATGAAGGTGCGATATGCTGCGCAAGCATTGAGTTCCTCTGTGGCCGACGCCTTGGACTTCTGTGAAAATGTGCTGAAGCTACCCCAGTTCCGGGGCGCCAGTGCAACATCGAAGTTCGTGAGGGTCTTCGATCACCTGTTCGACCTTTTTAATTCTAGGAACCCTTTTGCAAGGTCGTACAAGGCTCCTCTGCGGAAGCAGAATGAAGCCTGCTGGAAGCCATTCTTTGCCTACACCCAAGCGTATATAAAGGGATTGAGAGATCCGGCTGGGCGGCCAGTTTTAGAAGGCTTGAAAAAAACTGGTTTTGTGGGCTTCTTGATCTGCATGGCGAGCACTGAAAAAATGTTCGACGAGCTTGTTGGCCAGGGTAAGCTGAAGTACTTGTTGACGCACAAACTGAGCCAGGATCACGCTGAGAACTTCTTCGGATCTGTTCGTGGCCGAGGTGGGTATAACAACAACCGAACCGCTGCTCAGTTCATGGCAGCATACAAGCGTTTGCTGGTGCAAACAGAAGTGACGTCTTCTAGCTCGGGAAACTGCACCAAATACATGGTTTCCATCCTGAATACCACTACTGTTGTCGCCCAGGTAGACGCAACAAGCGCGCTCACAGACATGCGCAGGTCCTCGATCTTGGAGCCTCACGATGACCACGACTACACGCACCCTGAAAACCTTTCTGCCGTAGTTGTTGCGGTGGTGCCTTATATCGCAGGCTTCGTTGTACGCCAAGTGTGCAAGACAACAACATGCGAAGAGTGCATTGCAGCCCTGTACTCAGATGAGCTAGTTCCCCTAGTTGAGCAGAAAAACAGAGGTGGGCTTGTGTCCCCGTCCAAGGATGTCATTGGCTTGTGTGAAGCCGTTGAAAAGGGGCTGCGACGGCTACAGATTGAGTGTGGAACACTTCAAGCAGTTAACTCCCAGTCAAAGCATCTCGTTTTGGAAGTGCTACGACTGTCTGTAGAGGAAAACTGGTTTCAGAAGCTAGAGCAGCACATTCTTGACCTTGATCCCCTCGACAATCATATCTACAGCTTGTGCAAAAAAGTTGCGGAGCTGTATGTGAAAATCCGCATCCACCATATGACAAAGAAAGAAACCGCGAGATCATCAAGGACAGGGTCAGGCCCGTTCTTTCAAGAATGATCATTTTCAAACATCAGTGAGTCTCCCCGCACTGCTCGTTTCGGCTATACTGTTCGCATATATTTTTAATGTTTGTGTGATTGTGTTTTTTCTGCCATTTTCGAGTTTCTCAAAGCGTTATCGTAGGCCATTTCGCCACCAAAAAGCAAAGAATAAATGCTTACAACCTGACACAACTGTTTTTATTGCTTTGAAGACGCGAGAAACTGCACCTGCTGCTTAGATAAGCGCGAGCGCAGCTGTACTCTGCTGTTTCTTGCCTCTGCCAAGATGGCCGCCGGCGGCTCGGCGCGGCTTCACCCCCTCCCATGGGTAAGCATAGGCGGCTTCCACTCCAGCAGGTTTTTATATCCTCCTTAGTCCTGGCCTCGAACAGTAGAGAAATACCCCGAGTATTATCATAGATCCTTTTTTTTGGCAATTTCTTCCTTAAAAGTTCGATATATCTCTAGTGCAGACTTCTTAATCATGCCAATTCTCCACATGTCGGTCTCAGTTTCCTTCACCTTCTTAACCGATAGTTCTTTTTGGTTTGGCCCCCTGCTCTCTCCTAAGTATTTACTCGTCACTTTTCTGGTTCACTTCCTCTATTTCGTATCGACATTCTTCATGTACAAGTAGCTGAATAACTTCCTAGCCCAACGCTCCTCCCCCGTTTCTCTCAATCGCTTCTCAAATTTTATCTTGCTGCTAGCTTTCCTGCCCTCAAATGATGTCCATCCCATAACACCTTGTACTCCCCGAATTTGGGTATTCCCGTGAGCTCCCAAGACAAGCCTACCTATTCCACATTGCTTAATTTCTAATCTTGTTTGAACTTATGATCTCAAGCACAAGACCGCAGTGCCGAACGTCAGCCCAGGAACCATGACCCCTTTCCATATTTCTCTCACAACATCATACCTATTGTAATTTTACAGTGCCCTATTTTTCATCGCCGCTGCATTCCTGTTACCTTTAGTCCTCACGTATATTTCGTGTTCCCTCAGGTACTCGGTCCCATTGCTTATTCATACGCCCAGATATTTGTATTTATCTGTTATCTCTAGCGTGACCTCCTGCATTCTAAGCTCACTACCTTCATTATCATTAAAAATCATGACTGCTGATTTTTCCTTACTGAATCTGAAATCTAACCTATCGCCCCCATTACTGCAGATGTCCATCAATCTCTGCAAATCTTCCTTGTTGTTGGCCATTAGCACTATATCATCTGCGTACATTAATGCTGGTAGTGCCTGTTCAATGAGGTTTCCTTGTTTGACTAAAGAGAGGTTGAAGCCCAGCCCACTTCCCTCTAATTTGGCCTCTAATCCTTGTAGGTACATTATGAATAACAAGGATGACAGAGGACACCCCTGCCTAAGCCCCCGTTTTACTTCTGCAGGCTTGGATACCCACTTAGAGGTATTTTCAGATACCCACTTATGGTTATAAAGTGTTTCCCACTTTATAACTGCCTTGTTACCTTTATATATATCCTTTAAAATATTAGTGACTCCATCTCCCACACCTAGTGTGTCCAGTATTCCTGGCACGTCCTCTTGAACTACGCTATCGTATGCTCCCTTGATATCCAAAATGCTAGCCACAGGGCCAGTGTTCCTTTTCTGCAATTGCGATGCACTGCGTCAGTGAGAACAGATCTCGTCCCGCTGGCTGCCGAGTGATGGCACCGACTGGGACGCTGCCCGTCGGTGCCATCACTCGGCAGCCAGCGGAATGGACTTCTCGAAGCACGCGCGCCCACCTGCTAGTTGCCGGCTCGCGGCTTGTGTTGATAGAGGCATGAGTGGTGGTAGTAGCGGCACAGAACACCTATACACAACCATTTGGTAGTGGTTAGAAGAGGAAAAAAAGCACCGGTCGGGAGCACGGCGCAGGGCCTGGCATGGGTGAGAAGGCGCCGCCATTGTGAGAAAGAAGAGAGGAAACAGAGGCGCTCATTGGTGGTTTGCTTGCGCGGGAGAAAGAGAAAAAATGTCAAGGTACCAACACACTGGCAGGAAGCATGCCGCGGCGGCGTCCCGCCCGTCGGCACCTCCCGCTCGGCAGCCAGCGGCACGCTGTGCACATTGGCAGCGCCGCCTTGTGTTTGTACCACGCGACGCGCGGCCCCGCTCGTGAGACACCGCATTTCTCTCTTTCTCCCGCTGAACGTCGCTGCCGCTGATCGCCATTTTTGCCCCTGGCGCCGGCCCCCGCGCAAACGATCAACCAATGAGGGCCTGATTTTTCTCCTCACATTGGCGGCGCCTCATCACCCACGCCTTTTTTCTCTCCGTCTATCGCGGAGAAGCCAGGTGTTCTGTGGACAAGCCGGCACGTGGGGGCACGCGCTTTACATGTACACTCGTGTCTCGCTATCCTCGTGACGTACGGACAGCGTGCCGCTGGCTTACGAGCGGAGGCACCGACGCGCGGAACGCTGCCGCTGCATGCTTTCGCATATGTGCTCGTCGGGTGTGTCATGGGTCTCACCCTTTAGGGAGAGATCGAGCGGCCGTGGCAGGAGCCTCTTCGAGGGGTTCTGGATCGTTCAGTAAAACTAACTATCCTGCATAGATGCAGTAATTTTATCCTGTATCTATGAGCTAGGGTGACACTACACCCGACCGTTGCAAAGAATACAGCAGCAAGTAATCATCATCAACGACTCCAGCACCCTGTAAACATTAGGCGTGTGAAATTGCAAACGGCAACAAGTGTCTGAACTATAAAGCTTTCCTGCATACCCATGCCGAAGAGAGCACAATCGCAGCCCGAGGGAGCACGGCGAAGCAGCCGTCACGAATGCCACGCACGTCTACTTTCGCTGTTATGACAACAGTAACATTTGAAGCACCAGTCATCAGCACAATGTAACCCATGAGAGAAATCCATAATTGCTATTATCAACCACGGGCTCTACAAACAGCCATTGCATTCATTTGAGAAAAGACACGTGACTTGTGTATCAACTACTCTGGCTCTCTCTCCTCCGTAATAAAATCCGCGAGTACAATGAGTTGTCGCACGGCGGGTGTCACTGCATAGCTGCCAACCTGTATGAACGTTCACAGTGATGAAAAAGCCGTCTATACGCGTCAAAGTTCAAGACCGCTCACCTTCGATGGCCTCGGCTGCAGCTTCCTCGGAAGAGGTCGAGGGACCAGCGGCACAGGCAGCTGTAGCGTAAGCCTGGTTGGCGTTAAACAGCCTGCCAGGTTCTTCACGAGCAGCAACGGACCTGCGTGAAGGCATGCGTGAGTGTGCACACGAATCTGTTGTAGACAACGAACCGTGCGACGGCGCTCATTTCGACGAGCCGACTCGGGAATGCACAGCTAGGCATCGCGCACGCGTATACGTACGCAGCACTTAACCGCGGGCCTCGACCACTCGAAGGTTAGGATGGAAGCTGCTCCGTGACTCGAGTCATTTCACGCCCAACAAACAAAGAGTGACTAATCACTAGATGGCGCCCCTACGTTCGTTTCTACTCCTTTGTCAGGACATGTAGTAAGCCTCAGGAGGACAATGAGAACCCAAGTTTAACATCAAACTTTTGCAAAGAAACAAAAATTATTTATCTGTGCAATTTTTGATATCTGCTTTACATCGTGTCCCACTGAGGACTTTTAAAAATTTATCACAAAAATCAGAAAAGTCTGACTAGAAAGTGTGGTCTTTCTGCATTTGTTTCGCACAAATGGTGCGCAATCATTTGGTTTTAAGAAAGTATGGGTGTGTAGCCTAATGGTAAACACACTCTCCTTCGGAGCATGAGGATACGGGCTTGGGTCTGACCACCCACTCGCGGCGCTGAAAGCAGAGCAGTAGCTGGGCCCCAGGGCCCTATGGGAGTGTGCGCTCTTCATCCAAGTATGTTTATGACTATGCAGCGATTAAACAGTCACGACAGTGACGGAGCGCTACGCTTTCCAGCCGTGGACGACAAAAAAATCTCGGTGATAGGCAAGTTTTTGTTTTATGCCACATCAAATTTTCATACACTGCTGTGGTGCTGCTATCGTTGTACCATATAATTAATGAATGTTTCTAGAACTAGTTCTAGACACGTAATTAATATACAGCCCGTAAAGAAAAAGCTTCCCAGCAGCACCCAACTTCCCATGGATCGCCCTATGGGCAGTTAGGTGCTGTCATGATGGAACGATACTCGGCTTTTGGGTGATGTGCGCTCGCACTCGCCACTGCATGCTGCAATAACTCCCGATTTTTTTTTTTCTGCTTCGTGGACCTCTGTTTCATCGCAGTAAGAGACTGTCACATAAAGTCAAGTTATTGGCTCATTGCAACAAAAAACACTGACGACGAGGCGCAAGCAAGCCGGTGGAATCTGCCGTAAAGCCCCGCTCCCGAATGTCGACATGGTACAAAGATAGTGGTGCTATCTAGTAAATCAGACTGCAAACGCTTTTTTCCACACACACCAAATTATATAAATGAACATTGTGTCTTTCTGAAAAGTAGTTGAAGACATTACAAAATTTTCATTTGTTTATTATACGTGCACACGCTTGTGCCAGAATTTGAGCGCTTCTAACTGATATATTCAGTGCTTCTTTCAAATATTGTAATGGCAACAATGACAACGTTTCAATTTGTCAGCGATTTTTATAGCATAGAGTTTCCTACAATACTTACTAGAGGGAACTCTGGCGCTAGTGTCTATGGGAGCTGCAACGCACAACGCTTCAGCGAGCATGGAAATGATGGGTAGCACACACCACGACCTTCTGCATTTTAATGACCTGCCCAGCAAGCGAAGCGCCAGTACGCCCTTTCTGATAATGGTGCCTGCCGCTACGCGCCCTGTGGCGCTGCAACTTACCTCATCCGCACCGGTTGCTGGCGACCAAAGCATAGGTCGCTGCCCCCCCCCTTTTTTTTTTTCGTCTGCTTCCGTGACGCTGGGAGAAAAGCAGCAATGTTCACGCGTGCATACACTTTGGACGATTAAAAGGAATAAAAACCTCTTTTTGAATAAACTTAAGAGTATAATGACTATCTTTCGCTGCCGTCAGCTCGCGCCGAGCTGCGACAGAAGCGTGCAGGTCGGTGCTGTTTGTACACCAGCGAAGCGAGGATTCTTGGTGCAAATTAACCATCACGATGGTGGTGTCCCGAGTGCCTTTCTGCGAATCAAGGCAAGGAAAGACTCCTGATGTGACTTTTCATGAGTTTCCAGTGACCGAGGTCCATGAAAAATGGATCGAGGTGATTTCTGTGTTGTAAAGGACTACTTGTCTCTAAAAGAATGAGTTGCTGGTCGGGTTGGTGGTGCATGACAGACTGAAACGCATATTAGCGTAAAAAAAATAAACCAACAACCTCAAGAAAGTAAACGACGAAGCGCTGTACTCACAACTGTTTATTAGAAATAAAAAGGAAAGATGACATGAGTGCACATATGGAAACCGTGTCTCTACATGTGGTTATGCAACTAGGTTTTGAAGTACGCCCATTTTGTGAAGAATTAGCGTTAAATAAGTGATTTTAAGTGCTGTTTCGTTTCAAAACAGTTGCAGAGTTGCAGATTATTCATGTACCTGCGATCTACATTTGCCATTTGAGACGAAACTATTCATGCGCAAAGTTATCTGTATTTGGGTTGTTTTCTATGCCCGCCGGGATGCCGCGGACACTGTCAAGTTCATAGTCCTTGCCCTTTCTTGCTCAGACAGTAAATTCAAGCCAGCTGAGTAATCCAACGGCAACAAGTCTACCGATGTATACACATATAGCTGGTATCATGAGTTAAACATTTGGTGGCCAGCGCTTTTTGCAACCTGTCTACGTCGTCATTCTTGTTTTGTACGCTGATACATGTATTTGTACCCGATTTGCGATTCTATTTGAAAAATAATGCACTGAAATGTCAGCTAAAATGTAAAAGAAGATTCTCAGTCACAGAAAATCAAATTATTCAAGATAGCCGGCACATTTACTCAATGCATGATGAAACTCTTTTCTATCCGGCGGCAACCCATGCATTCACCAGCGCATTCCCATGCATTCACCAGCGCATTCCCATGCATTCACCAGGGCGGTGGCTAGCGCCACCAAGCAGTAATACTTAATAAACCAAAAACCAGATTTATTTTTTTTTCCTTTTAAGAAGTGAGTTTGAGGATTCGTACTTGGCAGTGAAGCGTTGGCAGTGAAGCGAATTTTCACTCGTGCCTTGACTTTAGCCACCAATCATATAACCTCCTTCAAGTTAATTCTACCCGCTTTAAGTCTATTTTGCACTCCCTGTCCCTAAACCCAACTGCTTTGAAAAACTCTGCGCCATCATCCTGAACTATAGGGCGAAGCCCTTTACAGAACATTATTAAGTGTTCGGCAGTTTCTTCTTCCTCTCTAAACGCACTGCATACCGTGTCTACCCCTTCGTATTTGGCCCGATATGTCTAGGTTCACAATACTCCCGTCCTGGCCTAAAACAGTAGAGAACTACCTCGAGTGTTATCATAGATCCTTTCCTCAGCTGGGGTAACTCGAGCGCCCCCTAAGCGGCGAAGTTCGGAATCCGAGCCGGCGCAGGCAGCTCCGTAGACCGCCGCCAGCTGGGCAGGTCAGGAGTACAGTAGGTCGTGGCATAGAGTTTCTCAAAATTAGAGGGCACTCTGGCACTGCGAGCGCTGCGATCGAACCCAAAAGTTGGTGGGATGAGGAAGTTAAGAGCCATAGCAAAACGTCAGGAAGCCTCTAGGGAACACAGACATGCTATGCAGCGGGGTAAACCGACACACGATGTTGAAAAAAAAAAGACATAGCTCTAGAAGGGAAGCATCCCTCCTGATCAATGAAAAGGTTAGAAGAAAGGGGGCTTAGTGGCTGGCAGAAGTACATAAAAAGGACAGAAAGACAGCTGCGAAATTGTGGAACCATCTAAACTCCCTAAGAAATGAGACGAGCCTAGAGCAGAGGTTTATAACTACAGCTCAAGGTGCTAGGCTAGAAGGGGGCGAAGCTACTGAATATATAAGAACAAGGGGGACAGAAAATTCTCAACAAAGAAGTGCTTTATGCGCCACAATAGACAAGGATGAATCAAGTGCCGCAATGGCTCCATTTTCACAACAAGAGTGGGAAAGGGCTGAGAAAAGTGTTCCTAGTAATACATCAACAGGCCCAGATGGCATTCCAATTATACTGATAAAGACATTAGGTCCGAAGTCTAAGCAGGTTTTGAGAGAGGCAGTGAGCAAAATAATAATTGATAGAGAAGTTCCTCATGGATGGAAACTTAGCAGGATGGGCATGATCTATAAAGGAAAAGGGGACAAAGCTGACATAAACAACTACCGTCCTATAACAGTGACATCTGTGGTCTTCAGGCTGGCGATGCAGATTATAAAGGAGAGACTGCAGGCATGGATAGAGGATGAGGGGGTGCTGGGGGAACTGCAGAATGGGTTTCGGAAACACAAGAGGTTGGAAGACAATCTGTTCTCACTGACGCAGTGCATCGAAATAGCAGAAAAGGAACACAGGCCCCTATGGCTAGCATTTTTGAATATCAAGGGAGCGTACGATAGCGTGGTTCAAGAGGAATTGTGGGGAATACTGGACACACTAGGCGTGGAAGATGTAGTCACTAATCTTTTAAAGGATATCTATAAAGGTAACAAGGTAATTATAAAGTGGGAAAAACAGGTATCCAATCCTGCAGAGGTAAAACGGGGGCTTAGGCAGGGGTGCCCCTGTCACCCTTATTATTCATAATGTACCTACAAGGATTAGAGGCCAAATTAGAGGGAAGAGGACTGGGCTTCGACCTCTCTTTCGTCAAACAAGGAAAACTCATTGAGCAGGCACTACCAGCATTGATGTACGCAGATGCTATAGTGCTAACGGCCGACAACAAGGAAGATTTGCAGAGATTGGTGGACATCTGCGGTAATGAGGGAGATAGGTTAGATTTGAGATTCAGTAAAAAATCAGCAGTCATGATTTTTAATGATAACGAAGGTAGTGAGCTTAGAATACAGGAGGTCACGCTAGAGATAACAGATAAATACAAATATCTGGGCATATGAATAAGCAATGGGACCGAGTACCTGAGGGAACACGAAATATACGTGAGGACTAAAGGTAACAGGAATGCAGCGGCGATGAAAAATAGGGCACTGTAAAATTACAATAGGTATGATGTTGTGAGAGATATGGAAAGGGGTCATGATTCCTGGGCTGACGTTCGGCACTGCGGTCTTGTGC